GGGCCACAGCTCCACTTCTGGCTTTTTCTGTGGATGTGGTGCTGAGGAATTGAACCCAGGCCTTCATGCATGCTAGGCAAGCACTCTACCACTGAGCCACCTTCCCAGCCCTAACTTTTTTTTCTATTTTTTTTTTTTGATACCAGTAGTAGGACTTGAACTCAGGGCCTGGAAGCTGTCTCTTCACTCTTTTGCTCAAGGCTGGTGCTCTACCATTTGTGCCACACCTCCATTTCTGACTTTTTTGCTAGTGAGTTGGAGATAAGAGTCTCTTGGGAGCCAGGCGCTGGTGGCTCACGCCTGTCATCCTAGCTACTCAGGAAGGCTGAGATCTGAGGATCACTGTTCAAAGCCAGCCTGGACAGGAAAATCCATGAGACTTTAATCTCCAGTGAACCACCAGAAGACCGGAAGTGGCGCTGTGGCTCAAAGTGGTAGAGCGCTTGCCTTGAGCCAGGCCCTGAGTTCAAGCCCTACCCCTGACAAAAAACACAAAAAACCAAACAGAGACTGGCACTCCACATCACAAATGCCAGGGACTACTTTGCCTTTTTTTTTTTTTTTCCTTTGGCAGGTTGTAAAGTGGAATCCATTTTCCTGAATGTGGCAGCCGTGAACACACACCGAGATAAGCCTCAGGTAGCCATGATGTCATTAGTGGGGAGAGGGGGGTCCGACACATACTTGGGGGGACATCCAGACTCCCCAGTCCTCAGGAGCCCTAGCTAGGGTCTTCTCCCAAGGTTGATTGCCTCAGTGGTTCTGTTGTCGTAAACAGAAAAAGCTGGAAGTGGTGCTGTGGCTCAAGTGGTAGAGCGCTAGCCTTGAGCCAAAGAAGCTCAGGGACGGTGCCCCAGGCCCAGAGTTCAAGCCCCAGGACTGAGGGAAAAATATATAAATAAATAAAGTGCTATTTCCATATTTGTTGGCGAGGCTATTAGAAAGTCCAGCACCGGACAGAGTCTTCCCTCCACTCCCGTCTATCCAGAATACTACTCTTGTTCCCTAAGATTTGGTTTTGGGTCAGTCCTGCAGACTTGAACTCAGGGCCTGGGCACTGTCCTTGAGCTCAAGGCTAACAACACTCTACCACTTTGAAAACAGCACCACTACTTCTGGGCTGTGTGCGTCTGTGTCTGTGTGTATGTGGTGAATTAGGAGAGTCTTACAGATCTTCCTGCCTGGGCTGACTTTGAACCACGATCCTCAGATCTCAGCCTCCTGAGTAGCTAGGATGACAGGCATGAGCTACCAGTGCTCAGCCACCATTGCCCGATTATCTGAGTACCCACTGTGTATTAGGAAACTGGTGACTTACTTAGGGCAGACCAGGGTCCTAAGTCCTTGTGAAGAAGGTGGCGGGGAGGCGGGGATCCTTAGAAAGTAGGACCGTGCGTCCGCTCGATTCCTGATGAAGGATCCGTGTCTTCTTCTTGTACAGAATGTAGACATCTCCAGGCCTCCAGAGGAAGCGCTTGTGACAGTTCCCGCCCACCAGTAACCCCTTCTCCACTGTGACCCGGGGACGGGCACTGATTGCTGCAGACAAGGACATTTCCGGTCCCACTGGATCTTGCGGTACTAGTGTACAGTCACCCTCCAGGCACATTCCTGAAGCCGGGCATGGTGGCTAAGTAGCACCCAGAACCCCCAGCTCAGCACCCTTGTTGACATCCAAGTGACAAGGTGGGATGTAGCTGACCGACTAGCTGCTATGAATCTCTGGGCCAGACATAGTCTGGGACACGGTCTCTCACCCCAGGCTGGCTGCTTCTAGGAAACATGTTGCCCGAAATGTGAAATGAAAAGTTCCCACTGGGTCCAGTGCTGGTAGCACACACCTGGAATCCCAGCTCCGCAGGAGGCTGCGATCCGAGGATGGCCTTTTGAAAACCAGCCTCCTGAGTAAGAAAGTCTGTGAGACTTAGCTCCAGACATTAGAGCTGTGGCTCAAGGGTTAGGCGTTAGCCTTGAGTGGAGAAACTCAGGGACAGCGCATGAGTTCAAGCCCCAGAACCATCTCTTTCTCTCTCTCTCAAACACACACACACACACACACACACACACCTGCTCTGGGAAGTCCTAGCAGTCTAGGGCAGGCCTCTCAATGGCTCCTAAGCAAATACAAGGCCTAGTGTTCACGAGTGTTCTTCTCATTCCTAACTGCCAGTTACACAGAAGTGGCAGCCAGGGGCCAGGTCTTGGGTCTTGTGGCACTGACCTCTGTGGCACTCATGAGAACCAATGTGCTATTTGGGGCAGATTGTGGTATTCCAGAAAAGCCAGGTGTTCTGTTTGCCACTCTCCCTCGCCCAGAATATGGGGAAGTTGGTGGGCCAATTGTTCTCACTGAGAAACCAATGGAAGACCCAGCAGCTGGAGGAGGAGGAGGAGGAAGACGAAACTGCTTGTCTCTGTCTACACAGGAAATGTACTGGCTGGCAGAGACTTTTATTTGCCTTGATTGGATCCTTGTGATCCTGTAATACCTGTCGTAGTGCTAGGCACTGGTGGCTCACGCCTATCATCCGAGCTTCTTCGGGGGGGGGGGGGCTGAGATCTGGAGGATCGTGGTTCAAAGCCAGCCCCCGGGGGAAGAAGAAATCCATGAGACGTTTCCCTCCGAGGAACCAGCAGAAAACCAGAAGCAGTACTCATGGCTCCAAAGGGGTAGAGCACTCGCTCGTGCCTTGAGTTGAACGAGAGCTCAGGGACAGCATCCAGGCCCCGAGTTCAAGACCGGCACCCAAACGCAGACAAAATCAGGCCGATGTCGGGGCTGTCAGACTCCAGCCCTCAGAGGACATCGGAAGCCCAAACTCTTCTGCTCCTGTGTCCTGCAGAGATTGGGTGACCATGGTCATCTGAATTCACCCTAACAGATCCGTGCAATCGAGAACCATACACCTCATGTCACCGAAGCCTTTTTCTTCTGTGTGTTTGTTTTTTGTCTATCTGCTGGGGGCAGGGGAAAGGGAGTTGCTGGACTGAGATGCATCCTGAAGCCAGGGAGAAGGCTAAGGTGGTCAGGGCATGCGCAGAAGCAGACCCATCACTGGACGCCGGCCTCTGTAGGAGCAAAACATGCGTGTCCTCACCCCCTGCGCATGCGTGATGGCCTCCAGGTTATCACTGGGTTCGGTTCATTGCCCTGCCCTCCTTGAATGGATGCTATTGGCTTTCAGACACACACACACACATACACACACTCTGCACTGTGTCTAGCATTCTTGGCAATAAATAACTATTTTCAAAACAATCGTTTGAAGCTTGTATTCTGTAGCCAGGCCTCCCCAGAGGTGAGGAAGTCCTTTTTCTGCCATTTTGGGGGACCTTTTCTTCTATGGGTGTGTGTTGGGAGCCAGCTCCCACTCCCCAGACATCCTTTTTGCTCTGGAGTGAAGGGATATATTGGAAACATTGAACCCCAGCACTTAAGAGAACGGGCTGTCAAAGGAGGAAGGGACTTACTAGAAGCTCGAAGAGAGAGCCAGGTCCTGGTGGCTCAGGCCTATCATCCTAGTTACTCAGGGGGGCTGAGATCTGGAGGATCGCAGTTCACAGTTCAAAGCCAGCCTGGGTAGGAAAGTCTGTGAGACTTATCTCCAACGAACCACCAAAAAGCTGAAAGTGGACATGTGGCTCAAGGGGTAGAATGCTAGCCTTGAAGAGAAAGAAAACTTCAAGGACGGTATCCAGGCCCCAAGTTCAAACCCCAGACTAGCACAGAAAAGAAAAGAAGGGCTGGGGATGTGGTTTAATGGCAGAGTGCTTGCCTAGCATGCATGAATCCCTGGGTTTGATTTCTCGCATATACAGAAAAAGCCAGAAGTGGCACTGTGGCTCAAGTGGTAGAGTGCTAGCCTTGAGCAAAAGCAGCTCAGGGACAGTGCCCAGGCCCTGAGTTCAAGCCCTAGGACTGGCTAAATAAACAAGAGTGGTTTAGAGCAAAAATAAGTCCAAAATGCTGGTGGCAGAAAAGCCCAACTTTTCTACTGTGGTTAATTGCTGGGTCGAAGGACACAGTAGGTGATTTTCAGTATGAAAACAATGTTAAGTACTTGCTACAAATACGCCTTTTAGCCAGGTCCTAGCTATTCAGGAGGCTAAGATCTGAGGATCACAGTTCAAAGCCAGACTGGGCAGAAAAGTCCTCTTTGAGTAGTAGAACACTAGCTTTCAGCACAAAGGCTCAGGTACAGCATCTAGGTTGAGTTCAAGCCCCTCAACCAAAATGTGTGTGTGTGTGTGTGTGTGTGCTTTTTAATAGACCAAAAGTGGGTTGTCTGTAGGCTGAGAATAACAGCATTAGCCTTGAGGTTTAGACACTTACTGAGACAGTAAGAAATCTCTGTCCCTCCCCAAGTCTAGCCTCCTGGGTTGGGAAGTTTTAATTACAATGTTTTCTCTGAGACCTCCTGTGTCTGTGGTCACAGCTTGTTTCTCTCCTATCTAACATTTTTCCATGTAAGGACTTGGAGGCCTTGGGTAATTTAATTGGAGATAAGAGAATCACAAACTTTTCTACCCAGGGCTGACTTTGAACTACGATCCCAGATTTCAGCCCTCTGAGTAGATAGGATGACAGGTGGTAGCCACCAGCAACTGGCTTCCAATTTTTTCTTTTTCTTTCTTTTTTTGCCAGTCCTGGGGCTTGAACTCAGGGCCTGGGCACTGTCCCTGAGCTGCTTTTGCTCAAGGCAAAAGCACCACTTCTGGGTCTTTCTGTGTTCTGAGAAATCAAACCCAGGGCTTCATGTAAGCACTCTACCACGAAGCTACATTTCCAGCCCCCAATTTTCCTTTTTTTAAAAATAAATTTTGTACCTATATGGGGGCTTGAACTCAGGGCCTGGGCACTGTCCCTGAGATTCTTTTTGTTCAAGGCTAGTGCTCTACCACTTGAGCCACACCTCCACTTCCAACTTTTTGATGTATGTGTATTCTTGTGTGCGCTGGTCCTGGGACTTGAACTCAGGCCCTGTCCCTGAGCTTTTCCACTCAGGGTTAGCATTCCACCTGTTTGATCCACAGTGCCACTGCCAGTGGTTCATGGAGATCAGTCTCTAAGACTTTCCTGTCCAGGCTGGCTTTGGATTTTCTTGACCCCCAACTTCGGTCATGGGGCTTGAACATGGCCCATATGCTGTCCCTGAGCTCTTCAGCTCAAGGAGAGCACTCCAGAGCGCTACTTTCCCCAGGCTGGTATTGAACCGCGATCCTCAGATCTCAGCCTTCTGAGTTGCTACAGGATGACAGGCGTGAACCAGGGGAATCTTTTTTTTTTTTTTTGGATCCGGTCGTGGGGCCTGAACTCTGGGCCTGGGCGCTATCCCTCAGCTCTTCAGCTCAAGGCTAGCGCTCTACCACTTGAGCCACAGCACCACTTCCGGCTTTTTTCTTTTTGCTTATGTGGTGCTGAGGAATCGAACCCAGGGCCTCAGGCATGCAAGGCAAGCGCTCTACCACTGAGCCACCTTCCCAGCCCAGCCAGGGGAATCTTTGGCCCTCAGCTTTCTATGTCCACAGCAAACCCTCCTCACTCCCCCGATGAGAAATTTGGGGACATATGACACTAGGGGGGTAGACACTGGCTCAGTTTCCCACACCCCATGGTAGCTTGAGAATGATATACTGGTTTTTCCAGGTGTAATGGCAGGGGCTGGTGAGAGATCTGGGGCATTAAAAGAACGTTGCATGGGCTGGGAAGGTGGCTCAGTGGTAGAGCGTTCGCCTCGCATGCATGAGGCCCTGGGTTTGATTCCTCAGCACCACATACACAGAAAAAGTTGGAAGTGGCGCCTTGGCTCAAGTGGTAGAGCACTCGCCTTGAGCTGAAGAGCTCAGGGACAGCACTCAGGCCCAGAGTTCAAGCCCCAGGACTGGCAAAGAAAGAAAGCTGCACCTCCATTTCCTGGCAGGAAACTCTGCCCCCCCCACCCCAATTCCAGGGGGTAGAAGCCTCTTACCTGCCCTATGCCAGGAGATAGCACCCCAAGAACCAGCAGTGTGGGGTGGAGTGGGGTCCTAGATCACCAGAGAGATGAGGTATCATCTGAGGGATTGGGGGGACAGTACCTAGACCACCAACCACCACCAACAAAGAATCCAGTGAGCTCACTTTGGGGAGCTGCAGGAGGTTTCTAAGTGTTCCCTGAGAATCACACCCCAAGTTTGGTGGTGGATGGGGTGAGGCTTGAGACTGGGAAGGGCAGCCACTTTCCTTCCCCTCCCTCCCCTCCCCTCCCTCCCCTCCCCTCCCTCCCCTCTCCTCCCGGGGCGGGCGGGGGTTCCGGGAACAGACCAGAGGGCGGGGCGAGGCCCAGCCAGCAGCCAGCAGCTCGGGTCTCCGAGAGACTGCTGCTTCCCTCCTGCTCCTTGCTTCCGGCTGTCTGTCTGTCTGGCCTGTCCGTCTGTCAAGCTATGGCTGGGCCGACCCTGGTCCCTGGGATCTGGTGGCTGTGGCTGCTGCTGCTGTCCCTGGGTGGTGAGCCTGGGGGGGGGGGCGGGGGGGGGGGGGGGGAGAGGTATCCTGATCCAGGGTTGGGGGGGGGTCTTGAGAGTGAGCTAGGTACCCCAGGCCCTTCTAACAGTGCAGCCCCCCCCCCCCCCGCTCACAGTGAACTCCACAACAAGGCTATTTTCCAACTCCTCAGGCCGATCTCTCTCTCTCTCTCTCTCTCTCTCTCTGTCTGTCTGTCTGTCTGTCTCTCTCCCTCTCCCTCCCCCTCTCCCTCATTCCCCTCCCTGCTCCTCCGGCGTGGGGTGGGGGGTGAGGACTAGAACTCACAGCCTGGGGCCAGCACCGAGGCCAGGACACCTCTCAGCCTCGAGGGCCAGTCCTCCTTTGGCTGTTGCTCCAGCCCCTGCCTAGCAGCCTCCACAACCCCCCCCCCCACACACACACTGAGTCTGGCCCCGGGGTTGGGAGTGGACGTCCCTGTTGACTGGCTGACTCACTGATGGGAAGGTGGGGGGAGGACTGGCTGGGACTGGGGGGGGGGGCTTTTAGGGGTAGACATTGGAAGAAGCCCCTTTGCCTCAGCCTTTTGGATGAGTCACTTCCTGGAAGCCTCTGGCTGTGTTTCCTAGGAGTAGGGGTGGGGGACAGACAGGGTAGTTGGCAGAGACCTGAAGGACCTGAGTTTGGGGGAATGGAAGGGGAATTTAAGCCTCCCCTTTGCCCCCCCCCCTTAGAATCACCCCTGGAGTGAGCCCTGGAATGGGAGGGTCCCCTTGATGGTGAAAAGAGTGCTTGTATATTGGGGAAGTCGTGCAGATTCCCCCAATACAAGAGTTTTTGTCCGTCCATCCAGACCTGGGGCTGTAGGCCCAGGTGGGGGTGTTTACCTTGAACCCCCAGCAGCTGGGCCTGGAGAAGAATTGCCTTCAGCTTGACTGAGCTCAAATCCATTATCCTGCTCCTTGATCAGGCCCAGGCCCCGCCCCTTTTGCTCCTCCACTGATTTTTTCTCCCAGAAGTCATTCAGTGGGCTTGCATCTTCTGACTTGGTGATTCGTTTGCAGGCTGGACCTCCTCACCCCTATGCCAAGTGGGCTTTGAGGCTGACACACCTCAAGAGATTGTTCTAGATCCCCTGTGACTTGTGGGCTTTTCAGGATCAGGAATTGCCTGGAGGTTTTGCAAACCTCACAGTAAGCTGGGTGCCTGGTGGCTCACACCTGCCATCTTAGCTACTCAGGAGGCTGAGGTGGGAGGATCGCGATTCAAAGCCAGCCTGGGCAGGAAATCTGTGAGACTCTTGTTTAACTCCAGAATACACCACCAAAAAGGCAGAAATGGAGGTGTGGCTCCTGGGGTACAGTGCTAGCTCTGAGTGGGAAAAAAACTCAGGGACAGAACATCATCCAGGCTCTGAGTTCAAGTCCCCAGACCAGCACAAAACAATACCCTGTGGTTGTCCAAAAGCCTGTGTGTTCACTTCCATATTTTTGATGATGGCTTCAGGGCGTCATTGGATGCCACGGAGAATACAGATATTTCCTGTTAAACACTTCCTGCTGCACACCCAGCCCTGAACAAATGCTTTCTGTAGCTCTTGGGCACCAGGGTTACTGTGAGTCTGCCAGGATCCAGCCTATGGGAAAAGGCCATCTTGTGAGGATCATGACCCCAGAGTTAGGTCCCGCAGATGAGTGAAGAGAAAGGACAAAATACTGGACAGGTGTGCAGGCTCCTTGCACTTTTGGTGTGTGAGTATTCAACTATGTATGTAGGAACGTAGCTTGGAATATGAACCTTGAAGATGAACTGGATGGCTGGGAAGGTGGCTCAGTGGTAGAGTGCTTGCCTAGCATGCACAAAGACCCGGGTTCGATTCCTCAGTACCACATACACAGAAAAAAATCAGAAGTGGCGCTGTGGCTCAAGTGGTAGAACGCTAGCCTTGAGTACAGAGAGGCTCAGGGGACAGAGCCCAGGCCCTGAGTTCAAGCCCCAGGACTGGTACCAAAAACAAAGATGTGGAGGTGCAGGTTGGAGATGAGAAAATGCAAGAATAGGGCACAATGGGGCTGGATGGATGGCTCACGCCTCTTTCTATGTATTGGTACCCAACTTGCGGGGTGGGAGGAGGTCCCTAGGTTTGAACTCAGGGCCTGGTTGCTGTCCCTGAATCTTTACAGTCAGCCACAATGTCACTTCTGGTCTTCTGATGGGTCATTGGAGGTAAGAGTCTCACGGACTTTCCCGCCTCAGCTGGCCTTGAACTGCGATCCTCAGATCTCAGCCTCCTGAGTAGCTGGGATGACAGAGATGAGCTACCAGCACCTGGCCTTTGGATATGATGTTAACGCAATGGGGAGAGCTCCAAGGGCAGAGGGTGGCCAAGTCAGACTGGCATGAAGCGAGGTCATTCTCCCTGGGGAAGAGCCGCCCCTCCTTCTAAGGGCATCTCTCTGTGGTCTAGAGAGGGCAAAGCTGGACGGAGGGATGCTGGACCGTTGAGGACAAGGCTGTCCTTATTAACGTGTGGTGAGTGTGCAGGTGCATGGGTGGAGCCTGATCCTGTGTGTTTTTCTTCTTCTAGCCCATGGTGAGATGTGTTTGAAGTTTGGTGGCGACAACCAAATCGTGGAGTCTTGTCCTGATTTCTGCTGTGGTTCCTGCGCTCATCAGTATTGCTGCTCTGATGTATTGAAGAAGTTCGAGGGGAACGAGGAATTATGTGGTATGATGAAGGCCAGGTAGGTACTTTTTTAATTTTTATTTTGCCAAGCCTGGGGCTTGAACTCAGGGCCTGGGCACTGTCCCTGAGCTGCTTTGGTTCAAGGCTAGTGCTCTACCACTTGAGCCACAGCGCCACTTCTGACTCTTTCTGTGTATGTGGTACTGAGGAATCGAACCCAGGGCTTCATGCATGCTAGACGAGCACTCTACCACTGAGCCACACTCTCAGCCAAGCTCAGGCCTTTCCCAAGAGGATTTATATGGCTTCTGCCTGGGATATGAACACCAAAGTCACCTTGGCCTAATTGCAGAGCTGAAGATGATAAAAAGTGAAGTCTGTTGAGTCAGTGTCTTCCTTCCTTTGAGATACAGCTTTTTTGGGGACCATCAGAGGCTCTTCATCTGCTGGGTTGTGGGTCTAATTCCTGTTCCTTTGACTTCTTGGTTACCTCCTGAAATTTCTAGAAGTGCTTCTTCAGCTGCTATAACTAGCTGATAGTTCCCCAACACACACACCAAAAGAGAATGAACTAGGCTGCCAGGTTTATCTACAGGATCTTTGTTTTTTGTTTTGTTTTTGTCGGTCATGGGGCTTGAACTCTGGGCCTGGGCACTGTCCCTCAGCTCTTCAGCTCAAGGCCAGCGCTCTACCACTTGAACCACAGCGCCACTTCTGGTTTCCTGAGTGGTTTAGTGGACATTAGAGTCTCACAGACTTTTCCTTCCCCAGGGCTGGCTTTGAACCATGATCCTCAGATCTCAGCCTCCTGAGTAGCTAGGATGCCAGGCGGGAGCCACTGGTGCCCGACTCTCCAGGATCTTTGTACCCCCATCTCCATCTTTGTATTCTCCATTCTCCATGATTTTTTTTTTAATTTTTGCATAGTGTTGGGGTTTGAACTCAGTAGTTGCTCTACTATGTCAGCTAGCCAACCTGCTTCCCTCCCTTCTTCCCTCCCTTCCTTCCTTCCTTCCTTCCTTCCTTCTTTCTTTCCTTCCTCCCTTCCTTCCTCCCTTCCTCCTTCCTTCCTTCCTTCCTCCCTTCCCTTCCCTTCTCTTCTTCTGTCCTTTCCTCCTTCCCTCTCTTCCTACCTTCTCCAGAATCAGAGCTTGATCTCAGGGCCTTACACTTGCTTACTTACCTTTTGTTCTACCAGGTAAACCATGCCTCCAGCCCAGTTTTTTGCTGGTTATTTTGGAGATGAAATCTCACAGACTCTTTGTTTCCCCTTTTTTTGCCTTTTATAATCCTTTGGATCTCAGAGCCTCCTGAGTAGCTAATGTTCCTGGCCATGAGCCACTGGCACTTGGCTTTTGTGTGTGTTCTATGTTGTTCCTTTTTTTTTTTTTGTCCTGTCCTGGGATTTGAACTCAGGGTCTGGGCACTGTCCTCAAGCCTCTTTTTGCTCAAGGCTAGCACTCTTACCATTTGAGCCACAGCGCCATGTCTGGCTTTTTTCTATTGATGTGGTGCTGAGGAATCGAACCCAGGGCTTCATGCATGCTAGACGAGCACTCTACCACTGAGCCACCTTCCCAGAACCTCATGGGTGAAATTTTCTTTCCTCTTGACAGTGCATCCAACTCCACAGAGCCAATGGAACAGGTGGGCGTGGCAATGAGGTTTGGATCCAGCTATGAAAATGATGACAACACCATGCCAGAGTAAGCTGAAGTCTCTATGTAGGTGATGTCTATGTTGTTGGCATGATGGGAGGAGGGAGGGAGGAGGTACAGGTGATACCAATAGGGACTGGCATGGTTCAGAGTGGTTGAGATTGGGTCTCAGGGAAACTCACCGTGTCTACCCACTGGGACCTTTGATCCTCCTACGTGGGGATACCATCATCTTTCTGTGGGTGGGGGAAGTGACCGTGGAGAGGGCTGAGGGCCGAAGGGCCAGGGGTAGGGATAGGGTCAATATTGACATAGGCAATGTAGAAGGGACAATGTGGTAGGACTGGGGACATGGATCATGTGGCTCACGCCTGTAATCCCAGCTACTCAGGAGGCTGAGATCTGAGGATCGTGGTTCAAGGCCATTCCGGGCAGTAAAGACTGTGAGACTCTTATCTCTAATAAACCACCAGAAAACAGGAAGTGGTGCTGTGGCTCATGTGTTAGCGTGCTGGCCTTGAACAAAAGAATCTCAAGACAGTGCCCAGGCCCTGAGTTCAAGCCCTAGGACTGGC